ATTATTCAGTTCATTCAGAATTTTGTTGTATGATTGAATTTATTATAGTGAGAATATTATTCGGGTATTATACTAGTACAATTGTCCAAAATTTAACTAATGATCCTTGTGCTTTATAGTACAACTGTGTAAATGGTAACTTCAGATTCATTCTATCTTAGACCATTCTGGAGTAACCAATTTTACGCGATTGTAGTTCATATTTTAGTATGCCAAAATAAAGAAAATTCGTTCTACCACATATGAGCCAAAAAAAAGTTTGAAAGAAAAGGAAGGGTGTTAAATAATGTTTTTCACTCAATGGAGCATAGCATGCATCTACCATAATTGGCCGTTTGCCAACTCTCACTACTGAATCTGGCCGGATTTTTTTTCAAAACTATGACGTATTTTGTAGCAATTTCGGAAACTATAGCACAGAATGAGAAAAATGCAAAACTATGACCTTGTCGGCCACGTGCAGGCCGAAAAGGTAGTTTTCGGCCAACTGTTGGCCGAAGTAGGGTTTTCGGCCTTGCCATGGCCAAAAAGTGGTTGAGCTGGCCGAAATGGCTGTTTTCGGCTGCTGTTTGGCCGAAAAGGTCTTTTTGGTCAAATGTAGGCCGAAAAGTACTTTTTGGTCTACTCTAGGCCGAAAAGTAGATTTTGGTCAAGTGTAGGCCGAAATGTCCCTTGGGCCCACCTTTTCGTTATCTGTTGGCCAATGCATTTTCCCGCCAACTCTTTCCCGCCAACCCTTTTCCGCCACCCGTTTCCCGCCAACCCCTTCCCGCCATACCGTAGTCGTTCTTTCCCGCCATTTTCTCCTCTGTAACTATAAAAACCCCTTCAGGCGGAGGTGGATAAGCATTCCAGTTTATTGTAGTCGAGATGTCCCATTATCCATTCGATCGTATTTTTCACCCTGGGATGAGCAGGACTCTTCTGAGTCTAGTTACCGATTTCGGGATGGACAATAGGATAGTTCCATGGGACGAACTCACCGGTAGTGACACCATAATGAATGAGTTGGCTCACCAATTACGTAGGTCTGGGTGGCCTGAAAGGACCTATGAGGAGGTACGTAAAGAACTTCTTAGGTTGCATGAAAGGTGGAAGAAGGTGGTGGTGCCGAAGAGTGAAACTTTCAGAAGGATTTCAGCAAATAATCCATCTTTATGGATTGAGGAGAGCGAGGACGAAGATGATATCTTCATGCCACCGCATCCGGGTTCTGCATCGTCGAAGGGCAAGAGTTCTTCATCGTCGAAGGGCAAGAGTTCTGCATCCTCGAAGGGCAATAGTTCTGCATCGACGGATGGCAAAAGGGCCGCATCGTCAAAGGGCAAGAGGGCTGCATCAACGGAGGATGACGATGATGACTTCATGTCGTATGTAAGATGTATTCCAGTTGTACCGTTTCATAACTTCATGTAGTATGTAAGATGTATTCCAGTTATGAAACGGTACAACTGGAATACATCTTACATACGACATGAAGTCATCATCGTCATCCTCCGTTGATGCAGCCCTCTTGCCCTTTGACGATGCGGCCCTTTTGCCATCCGTCGATGCAGAACTATTGCCCTTCGAGGATGCAGAACTCTTGCCCTTCGAGGATGCAGAACCCGAAAGCGGTGGCATGAAGATATCATCTTCGTCCTTGCTCTCCTTAATCCATAAAGATGGATTTTTTGCTGAAATCCTTCTGAAAGTTTCACTCTTCGGCACCACCACCTTCTTCCACCTTTCATGCAACCTAAGAAGTTCTTTACGTACCTCCTCATAGGTCATTTCAGGCCACCTAGACCTACGTACTTGGTGAGCCAACTCATTCATTATGGTGCCACTACCGGTGAGTTCGTCCCATGGAACTATCCTATTGTCCATCCTGAAATCGGTAACTAGACTCAGAAGAGTCCTGCTCATCCCAGGGTGAAAACTACGATCGAATGGATAATGGGACATCTCGACTACAATAAACTGGAATGCTTATCCACCTCCGCCTGAAGGGGTTTTTATAGGTACAGAGGAGAAAATGGCGGGAAAGAACAACTACGGTATTGGCAGGAAACGGGTGGTGGGAAAGGGTTGGCGGGAAAGAGTTGGCGGGAAGGGGTTGGCGGGAAAATACATTGGCCAACAGATAACGAAAAGGTGGGCCCAAGGGACTTTTCGGCCTACACTTGACCAAAAACTACTTTTCGGCCTAGAGTAGACCAAAAAGTACTTTTCGGCCTACATTTGACCATAAAGACCTTTTCGGCCAAACAGCAGCCGAAAACAGCCATTTCGGCCAGCTCAACCACTTTCCGGCCATGGCAAGGCCGAAAACCCTACTTCGGCCAACAGTTGGCCGAAAACTACCTTTTCAGCCTACACGTGGCCGACAGGGTCATAGTTTTGCATTTTTCTCATTATGTGCTATAGTTTCCGAAATTGCTACAAAATACGTCATAGTTTTTAAAAAAAAACCGTTTTCTTCTATAATTGTTGTTTCTATTGCCAAGGTGTGTAAGAGCATCTCCAGCCGCGCCCCCCACAACGGCCTCCGCAGGCGATTTTTTTGCGCCAGCGCCGGAAAAACGGCCCAGTCGCGCCCCCAACGGCCCATTTTTCGCCGGCTCGGACCAAAATTAACGCCGGCGGACCCAGGTCGAACCCGGCGCGCTGGGGAGAGCTTGGGGGCGTCGGCCGAAACATTTTTGGCGCGAAAACCAACGGGCCCTCCTTGGCAGCGACTCGGCTCTTCTCGCTGCTTCGTCCTCCTCATCGTCTCGGTTCCCGGGGCGAATCAATGCCAAAGCTGCCGCGCGCTGGCGCGCCGGTCAGCCTCCATTGATGCCTCACGGGCGGCGCAGTGAAGACCGGACGACGCGCGTCCCTCGCCCGCCACGCGTACACACGGCGGCCACGCGTACGCGCGGCGCCTCTGCCTATATAAGCCGCCCCCAGCGTGCCGGTGAAGCACAGACACTTCGTCGCCGACGCCCCGCTCCTTCCCGTTCCTCCCTCTCCCCTCGCCGTCTCCAGTTCAGCCATGGCCGAGCGTTTCCCAGGCGACGGCGCGGTGGCGAACGGCTTTGGCCGCCGCCACCTTCATGAGGAAGAAGCTCGGCTCCTCTTTGAGGCTGAGTACCCGGTCCCGCCGGACATGCGGGTGCCCGGGGCGTGGAGGGTCAACGCCGGCGGGATCTCGGTGCCACCACCGCCCATCGGGGCGGCGCGGCATGTGGAGATCGCGCGTATCCGCGCCTCTCTGCCGTAGGCGGCGAGGGAAGGTCCACGGTACGTCCCCGACAGCCCGCTGTGGGAGCCCTTCTTCCGTCGCCGCCACGCCGAGTAGCTCGAGGCCACCAACGGCGTCGTGCCCTCCAGGAGGCTCAACTCTGAAGGCCACCGCCGATGGTAGGGCGTGCCCGGCCGCACGCTGGAGTCCATCCTTGAGTACGTCGAAGGCGGCAACATGCCCAGGCTGGAGTGCCCTGCTACACCGTCCTTCTCCCGCCGGCGTGGGAGCTCGTGGACGCCGAGGCGCATGGACCCGGGGGCCTCCTCCTCCTCCTCCGGCCGCTCGACCGGCTCTCCCTGCCTCCGCCCCGTGAAGCCGGAGCCCCAGGACACGCTGGTCAGCCACCGCACCCGCAGCGCTGACGTCCGCATCACCGACCCCTCCCCCACCTCTGGACGCCTTGTCCTCGTCAGGCCGAAGGCGGAGCCCGGCCTCCCCGCGGAGTACGAGGCCATAGCCCGGCGCGGCTTCTCCGACGAGGAGGCCCTAAAGTGGGCGCGGGACGACTACCTCCGCGACGAGATGGTCCGGCAGTGCCGAGACCTGGAGGAGGTAGCCGCCCGCAGGCGTGGGCGCGAGGACGAGCACGGCGTGGTGATCCTCGACAGCGACGACGACGAGGACGCCCCCGGATCGTCCAACCCGCCGCGCCAATCTGGGGAGGGGTGCAACAGGGACGGCGGCCGCGGAGGAGGCGACAACGACGACGATGACGGCGACGGCGACTACACGCAGTTCTACAGGCGCCTCGGCATGTAGAGCTTCAAGGGCGCGCGGGCGGCGAGGAGCGGCGAGGGCGACGGCGGGCCTAGTAGCGTATGTTTTTCTCCTCTGTAAAATATTTTATGAACTCGCCGAAGTTTGGTTGAATTTAGCCGTGTTTTAAACGAACTCGCCGAACGTTTTCTTTTTTTAAAAAACATTAGGCGCGCCCGGGGGCGGCCTTGGGGCCGGCGATTGGGGACCAACTCGCCCCAGGCCGGTTTTTTGTGCCGGCTCACCCCCAGGCGGCGATTTTAGGTGCCTCCTGGGGTGCCAACGGCTGGAGATGCTCTAAGTAGGTAAGTTTGAGGTTCAGTATCTGGTAGGGCTCCTGCAGTTTTTGGTCGTTTGGTTCTAGTTGTAAGTTCTTTTATCCTTCTCTCTCTTAATATTACACATGCATCCTCCTGCATGATTCGAGAAAAAAAGACTAAATATCCTTTTCTCGGTTTATCCAAATGCACAAACATAAGTTAACAAAAGGTTTTTTCATCAAAAAACTACGGGACTGCTAATTTTCATCCGGATGAAAATTATTGGCGTTCATCCGATTTGTGAGCCGTCCGATCTGTGTCCTGAGATTCGTCTGATCTCTCGCTACCACACGGCTGGCTTACCGGGCGCGCTCAATTTCCGGGGGAGACCCGTTCTCGCTCGCGACCCGTGTCTGTTTTTTTTTTTGAATTTTTTCATTTTGCCCCCGTAGCTGCCAGGTTCCCTTCCCCTTCCTCTCGTTCCCTTGTCATTCCCAGCACGCAACCAGAACAGAACAGAGTCCAGAGAGAGATTCATGGCGACCCGGTGGTTCCCTATCCGCTCGATTCGCTAGGGTGTGGTCAGGCGTCCGGCGTTCGCCCTCCGGCTGCTTCGCTCCCGTCCGGCCGCCAACCCCCTCCTGCTCCCCCGCTGTCCGCGCCGTTGGTCTGCAGCATCTCTCGACCGCCGCACCCACCCACGGCCTCTATTTCTACCCCGGCGACTTCGCTAGTCTTCGTGATTCGGTACGTTTGTCCGTTTTTGCCTGGATCCTCATATGTATTGTAAGTTCTGTGTAGGATTTTATTCTCAGATCTATCCTCTTTTGTCTGATGCGTGTGGTTTGCGGTGTAATCTGGGATCGAATCTTGTACTCACGGCTAGTTCTAGGGTGTGTACTCTGTGGTCTGATTTGATCTATTCTCTGTTTGTATCCGGCTGATTGAATCTCTAGGTGTTTGAGTTCGAACACACTGGATTCGTTTTGCAGTGTCTTCAAATCCATTTTCGTGGTTGTAGGTTTTGTACGCCCTATGCTGTTAGGTTTGTTTGTTGATTTACCACCTAAATCAGTAGCAGAATCGGTCTGCTCCAGCCATTCAAGCCGCTAAGCCAATTTCAGTGGCCTCTACAGCAGGCGGTTATCAGTTGCTGGTTGTCCTCGCTTTGCAAGTAGCAGCCTCAAATCTCATGGTCACTGTTTTGTTGTTGTGATGTATTTTGGGTCAGCAAAGCAAAGCTAGAGTAGAGTGTCTTCAGAGTTTGTTGGTTGTAATGTAGGATCAGTATTAATCCTTTGTGCAGCAAGCTTAATACTAGTAGGTGTTAATCCTGCAGTTAGCAAGTACTAAGGCTCAGGTCTTCTGAATCTAACAAGCTTAGGTTGGATTCAGGGGGGCTTTGGTAAGTTCATCTTTTCAGGGGGAGTAGTAATTGTACATGTAGTTTTCT